ACGTCACTATAAAATACATTACCTACACAGTACTATTGAACGAACGTTCTCTTGACTTGGGAAGATGTAAAAATGAAGATGACTAGATTGAATTTCCCTCTGGTTTCTCGACTTCCGCCCAGATGGAGCAAGGGAAACCTTTGAACCTTCAGATCTGTTCTCTACCTACAGGTCCTACACAGCAAATGAAAGGATAAAAAACAAACAACACACACACACACACACACACACACACACACACACGCTCCTGAAATGAATAGAACACCCACCAATCAGAATATTTTGATCGCCCATTCTGTCCCCTTGGCAAATTCTAGAAATCAAACGTCATTTTCCCAGAAATCGGTTGTATACTATCATTATTGCGATATCGTACGTAACCAAACGATAAGATAGCAGAGGCGATGATCCATACTTCTTGGAAATACTGATAACAGATAAAGACATAATGGCCGCGATGCAATGGCTCTCATAAAAGGAAAATACATCAGCGCTACATATACATTCAGAATTCAAATATACGTAGAAGTATCTCATCTCCGACAGCAATACCTAAATATAAGCCCGTTCTGAATGTTTGTTCATCCCCGCACTAAAACTTGCCTTTAAAGGGAAGTGTTTATCCTCTGAGAAGTATCTCAACTCTTCAAAAGCTTTCTTATTCCTCTCTTTGTCTGTGTGTGGTGTGTGGTGTGTGGTGTGTGTGTGTGTGTGTGTGTGTGTGTGTGTGTGTGTGTGTGTGTGTGTGTGTGTGTGTGTGTGTGTGTGTGTGTGTGTGTCCTGTCTGTCACACTCACGCGCACACGCACACACACACACACACACACACACACACACACACACACACACACACACTCTTCCTTCTTGCCAACACAATGGCACATTCTCAATCAAGAAAGATTTCTCTCCCCTCGAAGCACTGTTGTCCGTGCCACGCCCACCTTGCAGGATCTCACCACTAACGCCATAGATAAATACGATTTGCTCTTTCAACAAAGCCGTATCGAGTAATACACTCTTGCGCTAAATGATGGAGCTTCTTCTTTGTACAGGTTCTCGATATTTCGATTTGGCTTCAATTCTTCGGAAATGGATTATCATCGTATTTCAAGTTTTAAAAAAATCGTAGCAGACAAGAAAACAAAGACACGTGCCTTATAAAACACCCAGCATTCCTTCCCTACTGAATATCAACGTCACTAGTTCAATTAGTAGTGTGTTCGGGCCCGAGAAGACCTTGAGTGCTGACAATATGCCACCAGAAGCCTTATGCTGACAGTCTGCTACCGACTTTGCCTCTCCTATGGTGACCTGTCATCGACGTTCCTCTGTGGTGAGGGCTCGGAGGTGAATTTATGTAATAGCTAAAGGTTGACAAAGATTAGGGGGTTGGGGATGTCTCTGGGTTGTGCATTAAGGGCGACTCGGTGCAGGGATCACGGTGGGTTCTAAGGGAGAGAGGAGGTAGCTGAGGATGTGGATGGTTTAGGCTTGATTTTGTTTCGGTCGGCGAGTATTTTGTTCTGTTTGGGGAAATGATGCGTCGGTGTATAATCTGAAATTAACATTCACGTCGGGAAAATTAGATAAAAATGGAACTAAGCTGCATCCCTATAAGCATAAATAATTAATGAAAGAGGAATGCCTTGGCGTATTGCATAACCCCGGCGACATACGAAGCAACTGACATTCATGGAGTGCCCCGTGGCCGACATCCGTCAATCTCACCGAGTTCCCATCACTCTCCGCGACCAGGTAGACGTGTCTGGCAGGCGGGGACCGGCGTGGCAGGGCAGTGAGCACCACATCGATTCCTCGTGCATGACCGATCACTGGCACACATGCACAATTTCCCTGTCGCCGCCGCCGCCGCCATGACGCCTCGGCCAGTGACCCCGCTCCCCCTCCCACCCTTCTTCCCTCTCTCACCTCCAACCACAACTGTCTCCCAAGAGCCCCATTTCCCACGGAGATATGAACAGCGACACGACCTCATACAAATAGGCGAGACGCCCTTTACACCCTCCACGCACATCCAACTGCCTCGCCGACGCCCCCTGGGTGCCCATTGCCGGCGCCAATGGCCGAGCACGCCTCTTCTCCCGTTATGTCATGAGGAGCTTCGTGGCCGGGGAGATTTACCTCAACTACCTTAAAGCTGCCTGACCCACACCCTTCCTTCGACGTGGCCCCGCCCCCACCTGCGATTCTTCTGATTCTAAGAGTCTTTATCTCCCTAGTAGCACTGGCGTATGAAGATGCTTGAAGGCTTTGCTCATTCACGAAGAAATAGTTCGTGCGGCATCCCTGCCAACCTTCTGACGCCACGTGTCGTCGCCTTAGACACCAACAACTTTCGTGTGTACACTTTGGGACCCGCAGGAGACGCGTGCCAAATCGTGCTTTGTTCTACTAACAACAATCAATTGCAAAACATCTCGCTGCGTTTCACTCATCACACTGAACATTCTGAAGGAAGAATAATATAGCATCCAAAACCAGAAAACAAAAAGATGCGTCAAGCATGAAAGGAAGAAATGCGAAAGAAAATGGGGGAAAATGTTAAATTCTGAACGTGACTACATGATAACAATCGATCACCGCAGCGGCCACCTGCTCTCCATTCACACCCATAATATCCATCCCTTATTGATCCCAAGACCATTTAAGGTCATTAGCTGCGTTCAGCGAGGGAAAGGGTTTGTGCATAGTAAACGTGACGCATAGCGCTATTTTCCTTCAATGTTTCAGGCACTGCCATGATTATTGATTCAAACTATTACAAATCCGGCTTTTGTGGCTTGCGTGCCCTCTCTACAGTGTCATCTTACCCTAGGCCTAATTACTGACCCCATAATAACTAAATCCCTTACAGGAGGTGGCGGAGGAGGATTACCTAAGCCGCTGTATCGGTCAGTCCATCAAGTAGTGGTTCTAATCCCACATGGAGGAGGGAGGGGGAGGGGGAAGGAGGGATAAGGGCTTTGCCCCCTCCAGGCGCGTCACCAACACAGCTGTTAACCTCAGGCGAATCAGTGGGAGGAAAGGAGCTGTCGTCGAAGTTGTCTCCCGGGGGCGCTTGGGGGCTCGCAGGCACTGCCCTCCAACCTCGGCATTACTTGGGACTCGCTTATATGATACCAATACTTGCTAGGCATACAGGAACTACGTGTACAAACGTAAACAAAAGGGATAAAGGACCAAGAGAATGGAAATCATAAAAAACTACATTCCTAAACACTAAAAGTTTGCATAAATAGCAAAAGCCCTGGGATGGCCTGCAGCACTGCAGTCGCCCAGCCACGGCAAGAAATCGGCTCAAAGACAGCACGCGAGAGAGGCCCGCAGTCAGCCGGAGCGAGGGTCCGAGTAACCTGCCCGGGCTCGGAGTGGAAGTTCCAGCGTCAGTCAGGCGTCTGTCGGCTGCATACTCCGCCGACCCAACGGCATGTACGCACGCACACACAAGTACAAACATTCTTTGCCACTTGCCTCACATTCACTATCCTCGCGCACGCAGCCAGAGGTCTGTTCACTAACCTTTGCCATGTTTTTTTTGCCCTTTTTTGCGCCTTTCGAAAGGAATCCACGCGCGCACGGTCATTGTTTTCCATACCCATATTATCATAATTTCCGGAGCAGCGAGCGCAGAAAATCGCCCATTTTCCTTGCGTCCTTTGTGTTCTATCAGCACGATCATTACGCTTCATAACAGTTGCCTTTCCGCAGCAAAAAGGGAACATGCAGAAGCTGGAGTATAAACAAACGGCTATTGATCTCCCCATCCCCCCCACCCCCGCCCCCCACGGCTACACAACAAGACTCGGGCCGGAGCTCGAAATGAGGCAGTTTTCCTTCCGGGTAAATTGTCTTCCAAACAAGACCAATCATTTATTTATTCTTCTCCCTCTTTTCTCCTCCCTTCATCTCTCCCCCTCCTCCTCTTTCGAGACAAATTACATCCCTTCCTTCTGACCTCCTTTCATCCCACCTCGCCTTTCCATCGACAGCCTCTTATAAAACCTCCCTTTTTCCCTTACTTCCTTTTAACTATTTCTCGCAGCATAACACAACTTTCTCCTCTAAGTCCAGAGACGCATCCGGCCCTCAACCAAGCCTCACCAAGTCCCACTAGCCCCATCCACGCCCCATTCAAGCCCATCCAGCCCCACCAAGTCTCCCCAAGCCATCCATCCACCCCCACCCCAAGTCCAAGTCCCACCTAGCTCCATCCACCCCCATTTAAGCCCACCGTCCCACCTAGCGCATACCAGCCCCATAAGAAGCCACCAAGCACCTGTGCCATCCACGCGCCCCCAGCCCGACATGAAGCCC